ACAGCGAACCACAGGAAACAGGCGACCGGCGGGATGTGCGACTGAACTGTGCAGGAAGAGGAGTGGGGTGATTGGCGACACTGGAAGGAGGCGAGGACAGGCTGTGAGAACGGGAACAGAAGGCAAAACCAAAACCCGGACAGGAGATTACAATAGACGGGACCGGAGCACATTTATAACAAGCCTGGCACTTCCGGGTCGGTAAGGAATGAAGGATCACCCCCCTCATCCCTGTGTGGCACATCAGCACAGCGACACTCAGTTTAGTGAAAGATGGCTGAAATCAGCCCAGAAATTGTGATTCTTTATAGAGTTTGTCTGGTGTTCAACCATTATTAGACTTATTTAGTATTTCTGTAATTCCCCTGTACACAAAGACTCCCTGCTGTCATACTGAGTGTTAATTTCATTGTCTTACGTGAAGTTCTTAATCTCTGTTCCCTTTATCTGTCAAACACGTTGCCTTTTAATTACCCTAAGCCTCCTGCCTGCCTGAACAAACCCTCCCCTGCTTGGTTCAGTGCAGCAGTGTGAAAATCATAACAATTAATTCTGCAACATATTGTTCCCCATATTTACTTGTTTAAGTATATGCTAGTGTCGCCATGACTACCGGCATAAGAAAAACAATCCGTCCTCCGCACCTTCATTCAGAACAGGGTCTCAATGACCCTGGCAAAGAGCTACAAAGCACACGGCGGCCTAGACAGGATGCCAGTCCATGCAGGGCACTGAGACTCAGGCGAGAGCAGCCAGTTTGCCCTACAGTGTGCCTTTTGAACTGTGGTGGTGAGTTGCACAAACATCTCATAAAGTCACTGAAAACCAAAGAAATGCCTCTGATTGGCTTACTAACACGTGCCCTTTGTCTGAGGGTTAACCAAAAACCTTGCTGCTGCCCCCCCACTGCCCCCCCCCCCAAGCTGTGTCAGTTCCAGCAGCCTAAAAAGCTTTTCTCAGCTTTTCCCCCGGAGTTGTTCAATGAGACAAGGAAGTGCAGGATGCCATTTCGGTACCCAGAGTTCACTCGAGGAAGCGTGGGGCTTGCACTGCACCGCACTGCACTGAACTGCACTGCACTGGAAACAGGAGCTGGGGCACTTTTCAACACTTGTGCTGCTTTATTGCTTCTGGATGCAAGAAGAGGTTACGGCAGCATGAAAGGCGACCGGTTAAAGCGGGCTGCATTTATTCATCTCTGCACTTTCCTCTGAGGCCGTCTGGCTGCTGCAGGGAACAACTAGGAAGACGGAATAAAACAGTTTGCTGAGGAAAAGTGGAGAGTGAGCAGAAGGTTTCTGCATGCTGGGGTGTTTCACTAATAACCCTATTGGGGGGCATTTCTTGGAGCTCAAATAAACTAAGACTTAGAATATTCCAGACCTGGACTCCTACCGTGGGTCATTTTCTAATAAACAGGCATAAAAAATGTTCCCATCTTCCTCCCTCACTCCTCCTGCTCTCTCTCTATTGTATTCTTTCAACCCCCACCCCCGCCCCCGCCTCGCTCTCATCTGATCACCTGATCATTACAAACACACACACACTTGGCCTGGGAAACAGTCTCATCCTGCCCTCTGACTGCCTTGCACTGACCTCAGCGATGGTCCCACAGTGCACAGGGGGGCGGGGGG